AAATAACAAAAGTTTTAAAGAGTTTGTATTTAAAAATAAAGGTAGGAACAGCGGAATCTAACATACAAAAATACACATGTATCAATGCAGATCAGCAAATCGGAATAAGCAATAGCGATAAAATTTCCGACGAGTTGAAATTCTGTGTTAAAAACTGTGTTATTTCTATCGCTATCGCTATTCCGTCCATTGTGCAAGGGACTTATGCTCCGTCCCTATATTCCTATGCCCATGGTCCATGGGAGAGATGCGCGAAACTGGACGAGTTTTCGTCCGCTACAGGTACTTCCTTTCTTTCACGTCACATGTCACATGTGCTATAGATTTCCAGTACTGACGGTGAATATCCGAATGCAGCCTTAGATTGGCACGCCTGCAAGCGAATACGAGAGGTCAGTGCACGTCACAAAGTTATTGCTCGAAGCAAGGAATACGTTCACAGTAGGCTGTCGTGTTGCGAGATCCTCAGCAAGCAAGCCATTCTGGGACTTTCGCGAGCGGGCCGTGGACATTTGGTGCGCGGTCAAGACTTGGTTTGTGTTTTTGGCGGTTGACGGACGGTCACGTCGTGTGCCGTGCACAGAGGAAACAGTGGACACGAATTGCGGGCGCCGTGCGCAACTATTCGTGGTGTCGCGGAAGTGTTTCGCGCAAGTGTTGCTACAACTTCGACAAGCGACGAAGGAGAGAAGTGAAGTGCGTGCGAGCGAACAGGTATTCGCTGTATGTAATCGCGTCGCCGACGACAATTCTGTAAACCATAGCCGTTAGTTACGGACTGAACATCCATCACTGTTCTAACAACTTAAGTTGAGCCTAGCTCGTCTTCTTCGACACAGGCGCCGCCGCTGCCGTCGTTTGACATCCTGCTGCCGTTGTTTGACGCCCCGCTGCCACCGCCGCCGCCGCCGCCGACGACGACGACGACGACAACGACGACGACGACGACGACGACGACAACGACGACGACGACGACGACGACGACGACAACAACAACAACGACGACGACGACGACAACAACGACGACAACGACGACGACGACGCGAGGCACCCGCGCGAGTCGTAGGTTATGTCAAGCGGATTGGCAGGCGCTGTCTCAAACCAGGTCAGTGTGTTGTGTTGATGCGCTGCGTCGTTGACGTTGCCGCTGAGACCGGTAGACACTGCAAGCCTACTTCTCTCCATATCGTGTATACCTTATCAACTGTCGCCAAGGATTGAGCCTTCTCTAAATTTTGTATGTTCTTTCACGCTCTCACGTAATGCAGCGGATGAAAGGACAAACTAGCCAAGGTGAGTAACTTGCCAAACAAGTGACAATTATTAGTTTTGCTGTTACTTAATGTCAATATGTTCTTTAGAAATTTTGAATTGAATGAGAACAGTAAGAACAAAATCTTTTCAGAAAATAATATTTGCATCAATTGTTTAGATACTTGGAACAATATAATAATATGTATGTTGAGCACGAAGTTTATAACAATCTGAAGAATAAAATTTATATCTGCATAATAAGAGATTGGACCTGGTGGAATGTTCCTCAACATAGAACGGAAACATTCATTTAAAATAAACTTTGAAAATAATTTGAATTTTTGTACTCTTAAAACTTTATATATAGCATAACTTGTTATAAATTTTAAATTTGTTTTAACATTGATGTTTATACCATTCGAATTTGAATGTATAATATTGTATTATTACTGTATTGTTGAAATATTGATGTAACATTACTAAAATATTGAATGATATATAAAGATGACAAATAAAAAGCTATAAACAATCAATATATTTATAATTTATAATATATAACAATGAGCTTATACTTACTTTAGAGCATCTTACATTACGTAGAATAGTATTGATAGACTATATTTCAAGTTGAACAAATTCTTTGACCATTGTTTTGTCATGTGCATGCAATCCAAATATTGAGTATCACAAAACACGGAGTAAATGCACCTCTGTTTTGGACAGTAAGCAATGGTCCTAAGGAACACCAGCAGCAACAACAGACGGAACATGCCGCTGGCGAGGATACTAGCTTTGACTCGTGGCGAGGTGGCAACAATGCTCAACATCACTCGAGTTATCCAATTGGCACCGGCGATCCATATAGTACGTACTACGCCGGTACCTCTTTTCCTTATCAGACATTCGGCGCCGGCGACGGCACGTGGTCAAACGGCACTGATCCGGTCGCCTTCCTGTCTGGTTACGGTGGTCAAATAAGCCACGACGCGTATGGCATGGACGGCATGTTCTCCGCGTCAGCCGCCGGCGGCGGTTTCAGCGCGTTTGGTCAACCGCCATTTAATTACTTCCACGGCAACGGCGACTTCAGTGCGTGGGGCACTCCGAGAAGGACCAAATACGAGGACTATTATCAACCGCGCGGCAACGAGAGCTATGCCAGTCCGGCGGCGAGCGGCACCGGTGAGATTAAGACCATTGAGCAAGGTGTACAAGGTTTGTCGATCGGTGGCAGCAGCGGCAGTGGTAGTGGCGGCGCTGGTGAGTTACCGCGGCAGGATCAGCAACATGCACAGGCTCCGACGCAGCCAATCAAACCCGAGCCGAAGGAGCCGAGAAAAATCACTTGGGCAAGCGTGGCGAGTCAGCCTGCGAAACCTGTGCCACCGCTCTCATCCTCGCAAGGGATGAAGAAAAAGGCGGGCATGCCGCCACCACCAATCGTGCCGGGCAGGCACAACATGGACATCGGGACATGGGGCGAGGGTAAGTCTTCCGCGCCGCCGCCACCTACGGCACCGCCGCCGCCACAGGTGCAGCCGCCGATTCCGCCGCCGCCGCCGCCCGTTCAAAGACAGCAACGACCGCAGCAACCACCGCAGCCTTGTAGCGGCAACCTTGTGCAGCCTTGTTGGAACAGGCAGTCGGTCGCGGTAACGACGGCGACGCCGCCGGTCCCACAGTCGCAGACGCAGATGCATATGCCGTCGCAATCACAGCAGCATCATCAGCAACAACATCAACATCATCCACAATCACAGTCGCAACAGCAACAGCAGCAGCAACAACTTTCTCAGAGCAGTCCATCCTCGCATCCGGTCCTCGACGAACTGAAAGGAAAAAACGATTATAATCCTGTAGAATTTGATCAAACTGCTCCTGGTGCCCGATTCTTTGTAATCAAATCCTATTCAGAGGATGATATTCATCGATCTATCAAGTACGAGATCTGGTGTAGTACCGAGCACGGAAATAAGCGGCTCGATCAGGCTTATCGGGAAGCGAGTCGCGAAGGCGCACCTCTTTATTTGTTCTTTTCTGTAAATGGATCCGGCCATTTCTGTGGCATGGCGCAAATGGTCTCCCCCGTCGATTATCAGTGCAACAGTAGTGTCTGGTCGCAAGACAAATGGAAAGGCCAGTTTCGCGTTCGTTGGATATATGTGAAGGATGTTCCTAATGTGCAACTACGACACATTAAGCTTGAGAACAATGAGAATAAGCCGGTTACGAATTCGCGAGACGCACAAGAAGTACCGCACGCGAAAGGCGTCACGGTATTGCGTATCTTGCACACCTATCGGCACTCCACAAGTATATTCGATGATTTCGGGCATTATGAACGCCGACAGGCCGAAGAGGATCAGCGCAAAGCGCCGAATAACGCCATACAGCATCATTCTTCGCATCATCCTTCCACTAATCATCGAAATAGGGGACACGCCTCGGACATGTCCAGAGATCACCATCAGCATGGTCATCAGTCTCATATGCATCAGCGCAAGGTGGATATCTATCTATTAAATTTTACTCGACTTACTATGATGACGAAATAACGCAAACATGACTGACAATTTCTGAATGGAATATTGTTTCGTTGCAGGAGCGTGGCGGTCGTGGCGGCAGAGGAGGCTCACGTCAGTAGCGCTGGATATCGCAGAGACGTAATGCCGTTAATAAGAATAATCGACGTAAAGAGAGCACGCTACGACTAATTATCACGTCTTACCACTTATTTTTGCTTTCCCGGATCCGTGATGAGGCTTCATCTGATTTTCTGTGACCGAACATTTGTTGTCGACTTCGGTCGCGTTGTTTTTTCGTTAAAATGGTTAATCCAATGATTAATGAGATAACACTAGCGTCGCGTCGACATCGTCCTAAAATAATATATGTAATTTGCGATTATTATAAAGACAAAAAAAAAACAAAAAAAAAAAAACAAAAAGAAAGGAGGAAGAGAATAATACACTATTTCAAAGAATATTTGGCTAAACTTGCTGACGATTATAAAGCATATGATGTGATGTTGCGTGCTATTCATCGAAAGGTGTTTTTAAACGTACAAATCATAAGACGGGACAAAAAAGATAGGAGAGAGAAAGAGAGTGAAAAAGGAGAAAAAACAAGGAGACGAGGGAGAGGAGGGGAAATGAGAATAAGAAACTATGTGGACTAATTCTTGTAAAATGCTTAAACTTTTGTTGAAAATGAAAAAGAAATCTATACGAGAACACTATATTGTAAGCAAGTGTCATTTGAATTGGTTATATCGTCTTAAATACCAATGAACATTTATAATCTGGTGCCTGCAGCTATACAGAAGGGTTGAGTTTTTTTACCCTTTAATTGTTAATAAGGTGCAGGGGCTTGTTGCTACAACAATTTATGTTGTAGTTATAACCATCATGCTTTATGAAATGAATTACACAGAAAAATTATTGGCGTTTATTTTAGCGCGTATTCTATACCTGTATTATTGCAAATATATATCTATTATATTATTCATGGATTACAAAAAGATGGAAAGCGAGCAAGAAAGAAAGAAAGAAAGAGAGAGAGAGAGAGAGAGGGAGGAGAGAAATGAGTTGAGAATAATATAACAGGAAGTGAAAAAATAATATTGCAATTAATCTATTGTAATGTACACGATAGCAACAAGCATTATTATTGTATCATTGATGACATTTCATGAGATATGATTCTTATTGTTAAATGCACTTTTTTGGTTTTTTTTTTTATGCTTCTTTCACTTTGATACAACACATTCTGTGCAACAATCCGCAATGCTAGGCAATTTATTTGCAGACATTACAGCGACTCGATTCAGAAATATGCGTTAGAAGACATATTCATTTAGGTACATTAATTGATTTTAAAAATTAATCTGCCATTAATTCCTTACAACCAGTCGTATTAAATGTTTGATTAATATATTTATTCGCGTCAACGTAGCCTTTGATGCTTTCCATAATCGCGTTATCTGAGAAAAGCTTTTCTTTCTCCGCCTCTTGTATTTTTTGTGCTTCAGCGTTTATGTCGTCGTTCTGCAACATTCCCAGCTGTAGGAAGTAATTACGTAGATTGTCTTGAACCTCCTGACAAAAGTTTTCGCGATTTGCTTCGACGTAGCGATATACAAATAGATCAGCACCAGTGATGATAAAGCGATGATTAAACACATTAATAATCGCGCCAACAAAGAAGTCTTGCGGCATATAGTATTCTGAATCGTCTTTTCTCGCGCTGCATGGCTTTGGAATCAACCTTGAGGATAGGAAACAACCCTCGCGTCTACCTGAATTGCGTTTCTCGATCTCATTTATCTGAATTGTGCCGTTGCTCAGACTGTACTCCAATACGAATTCGCGATCTTGGTCTTCCGGATGTACCGCATCCATTCGCGCGGAGTAGCGCAACTTTTTCGATAAGTTTGCCAACTGGCGAATGACGTCCTTCTTAGGCGGCTTCGGTAGCATGGACAGACAACTGGCATCCTCAAAAGTGTTAAATTTTATACGCGACGGCACTTGATATTGCACCGGCCTTTCTGCTCTTGCAGGAAGCGGAATCGCACTCGGTTGCGGCGCACCCAGCACGTCGGAGTAGTACCTACGCGTGAAAGTGTCGCAATCGTGGAGCAAGAATTGTCGACCAAATAGGACGATTGTTTCACCCAGCTGAAAGATTTAAGTAAGCGTGTTTTACTTTTTTTTTTTTTTTTTTGACTAAGATTTTTTTATTTGCGATATATGTTATTTAATTTATGTTATTATTCGCAAAGTAACGCTTTTTCGTGGCCTGGGAACAAGATAACTTAGTCTTACTCTGAAGTCTCGCGGTGTATAGTATTCCACGATTCCGGAGTCTTTCAATTCCATACTTGGATGCCAAGACGATGAGTTTCGCCAATTCTTGGGCACGCGCATTCGTCTAAGCAACATCGCTACGGGATCCTTACCGTCGTTGGGTGTATGTATTTCGCGGATTGCCACAGTGTCGTCTGTCAAAAAATATAACACCTGATAACGATCGTCGTTCCATGAAGCGCCGAATGAAAGCACCATGCCATCGTATTCCAAAAAACGTCGCCTGGTATCGTTCTTGGTCGAACGCGAAGACACCGTTGAAGGACTGTATTTGATGTTGCGCAATTCCGCGTAAGGATCCGTGGGATGGCTTTCCCGCTCACCAACGTCGATTCCCTGGCTCGTTAGGAATTTTCTCGTAAACGAGTCGCAATCGATGATATGATAAACCACGCCGTAAATACCTGCAAGAAACTAGGTCCTAGTTTAGACGTTATTGCACATTTTGCACAATTAAAAAATTCTATATCGAAAATATATTGATAATCTAAAAAAAAAAAACAAACAAACAAATGAACTCGAGTTTTTAAATACTTTTGTTCATAATTTAACATAGTTCTTTAAACACAGTAACTTTCCGTCAATAACGTACACACATCAATTCCAACGTTAAAGTCCTTCCAGATGAATAGGTTTCCGTTAGCGTTCTTTGGAATTCTGTCGCGTTTTACTAATCTACCTTGTTCGAGACCGGCGTTTTTCACGATGGGCTCCATTATGCAAATTGTATCGTCTTCCAGGTAATAGATGATATTCACATACCGGATGCGATAGTGTTCATCCGGAGAGTTGTAAACTCCTTGACGGAAAAAAGCCTTGAAGCAAAGGCACTTTTGAGCAAAGAGCGCATAATGCGGTATAAATTGTCGATATGCATAACGAGACGTACGGCCATAAGTCAACGATGAATCGTATCTAGAAATAGAGGACAATTTCATAGAAGATAAATAGAAAAACTAAACGGAAAAAATGAAAATGCATGACTATTCACTCTATGGGATCTGAACGTTCTGCGTAGCGTACGGACGCTGTATCCGTCGGTCTTCTTCCGATATCATACTTGGTGTCGCGTACTATCGGGAAGCCGTTTAGGACATCGAGTTTGTGCGGTAATTTATAATCTGTGACCTTATATACAACGAGAAAAATTCAAGTAATTTTGTTAATCGATATTGGGTTTTAATAATTTAAAGTATATTTTTATAAATATCAAAGTGTTAACCCGTGTGTTACTTTAAATTGTTTTCGATGACGTATCAAAAATGAAGAGAAATTCCTAATCAACATATAAATTATCTGGACACTTACGGTAATATCTTGAAAAGTGTATCCTGGTAAAAGGGGCAAACTTGCCATATCAATGCCGAAATATATCAAATTGAAGACTAGAAGAGGCTATCAGCTTTGACACGTTAACCGATGAGTCATTTAAATCTCTCTCGGAAATTGTCCGTGACCTGTGACTTCAAAAAGCTTTGTTTAAACGCATCTCTATAACAACGCGATTTGTTTATCGATTTAATTCTGATGTCTATATACTCACTCCACTCATCTGGAGATTTTGAATGTTCTTTTTCAATAATGTGACTTCTTATAATTATGGAAAAGGAAAAGACAACAACGCAATACTCTCTGTTTGACCATTTATTTATTCAGAACTTATTGACAACCGTAGTATCGGATAGTTTTCTAAAAGCGTCTCAGTCAGTCGCAACTGCAAACGATCACAAACTAATTATCTCGCGGAAAATGGCCATACAGCCGGCGGAGAGGCAACCGGCCATCGGCACGGTAATTACCCACGCGCATACGATATTGCGAAATAATTTCCACGACACTCCCTCGCCCCCGCGTGAGGCCCATCCTACGCACACCACTGATCCAACTTTGCAGTGCGTCGTTGAAACAGGTAGACCAATTTTACTTGCTAACAGAACTGTCGACGCAGCACCTACCTGCAATCAAATAAGTTAGTTACATATCACTTTGTTCGGGAGATTCTCAATGCCTATAAACAAAGCTCTTTTGAAAAGACGGCGTTAAAATTAAGTATACGTACTTCTATTGTGAATCCGGTCGTAGGAGTGATACGCGCCAGATCCTGGCCCAAAGTTCGTATCACTCTGCGTCCCCACAGCCATAATCCCGTAGATATACCTAGGCCGCCATATAGAAGTATATATATCGGTGTTTCGGCCTCCTGTCGGGCCGAGCCTTCTACGTATACTGCCCACAGTGCGATAAGCGGCCCGATTGCGTTGCTGACGTCGTTACCGCCGTGCGCGAAGCTGCCGAATGCTGCGGTGAGCACTTGCAAAAAGGCGAACAATCTCGACACCTCCGGCTGCTCTTCTCTATTCATCGCGGTTACACCGTCCGCTTGCGCATTCTCGGCTTCGATCTGGGTGATCATCAGCAACGGACTCTCGCTGCTGTTGCCACGCAACTTCGGCGTCGTTACTGTTAACTCGGGCTTTGCGTTACCGTTGCTGCTGCTACCACCGCAAGGAGTTTCCGAGATCACCGATAACGCCGTCGTCTCCTTCTTGTCTTGATAGGTGTCGAAGTGAACAGTTGTTTTATTACTGCTGTCTACACCGTTTGATGACAGTAATATTCTCGCTCTTTGCCACGGCACGACGAATATATACACGGTCACGGTGGCGAACATGCCCAGCAACATCGCGGCTATTAAGCTACCCCACCACGGCAATTGATCTAGCATTAACACTGAAAAAATATAAATATTTCGTATAAATTATTTTCTAAATGTGTATACATGACATTATTTTACTTTGCAATATATCATTTTTGTTTCAGACTTTTGTAAAAAAATATTCTCTAACATTTCAAATATTCTAAAATATTCACGTTTAGGTCCATCGAGCAAAACCGACATAATATTGACAGCAACCGTTATGCCATACGCTACGGGAAGAATACGGAGACCCTGTTCAAACGGCTTATTAGACTGGAGTACGAATTTGCTCAGAATCCCGAAGATACTGACGGACACGATACCGCTGAGTATGGGACTGGCGACCCAGGACGCCGCTATGTTAGCGAGAGCCATCCATTTCACCTGTAACATTAACGTGTTGTTTAAAATATGTGTTTGCGTACTAAGTTGCAACGCGTATGGCATTGCGGCGGCGTTACTAACCCCGGCGGTACCTCGGCACACGAGCGAAAATCCAACTGTAGCACCAACAATAGAATGCGTACCGGAAATTGGAAGTCGTAACGCGGTTGCCAGCAGTAGCCAGATACCAGACCCGGCTAGACTGGACAACGCCCCTAACATTAACTCCTTCTCGTGGCCCTCGTACAATGAGACATCCAGTATACCTTTTCGCATTGTATCAGAGACCTATAATAGAAGAATAAAAACTACTATAAGTATATAAAAATAATACTCGAGATATGATGAATATAAATACTGTCTCGAAATTTACCTTATATCCTATCAGTACGGCACCAAGAACTTCGAAGATAGTTGCTAGCACGCAGGCTTGATGTATCGTGAGCACCCCGGCGCCAACGCTTGTCCCAAAACTGTTGGCGACATCGTTGGCACCAATTCCGGCCGCCAAGATAAACGCCACTATAAAGCCAATCGCTACTATCCAAATTAAGTTTTCATCGTACGGTGTACTCATTGTTCTCACTTGTTAAGACCTACTGCTTGAGCTTTCGATGCGTGTATTTATGTGTATGTCTATGTGTTTACCATCGTACTATGCGTATCAGTCAGAAAAACCGGTAGGCATATTTAATCGTTTTCTGTTTTCCTGTGCTTTCTTCACTACTCCCGCAACAATAAATGTGGTTAATTGATCAAGAAGATCAATCTCGTGGCAAAGAAAAGCTTTTCTGATGCAAAACGTCGTATTGATATTAAGTATAAATGCTTATTCATCAGAATATATCTCTTTTATGTACGCTTGAATGTATATATATATATATACACACATATATATATATATATTCTTTCATATAATATATAATAATACATCTATATATATTTTCATTGTAGTCCTAATACGATCAATTCTTCAACACTTTTGTACATATAGCAGAGGTAGTGTTTTGGCGCAGCACCTGATTTATTTAACATCGTGAAGCTTTTGTCACACGTTTAAATTCACAACTGTCATGTGTCGTTAGTAATAGTCGAATGAGCAAGGGTTACTGGCTGACTACTACCCTCTTTACGATCGTCGTATTCTTCTTCGGTTCGAAATTGCAATACGCTATCTTCGAGTCTTTTATCAGCGCTTTCCTCGTATGGAAATACGCCGCTTGCTGTATCCTCCACATCTGCAAACATCGTAGAAAATAATTTATTTTAACAGAGCTTTAATTACTAATAAAAACCAATCTTATTTCGTCATCCAATGAATCTGAATTTTTATTAATTGTTATTGTTGTTGTTTAATAAAAATCTTGCCGGCTAAACGAAGTATTGTACGCACTGGTGGTGCAATATTCGATCGTATACTACACAGAGATTTTCCTCTTCTACTCTTTCCCCTTCCCTCAACAATTTCGATATAACTTGTTACGTCATCTCTCGATTTCATATACACAACATTTTTCTTTCTAATAATATTTATTTATTTATTACATCGTAAATTTAAAAATCAATCGAGGTAAAAGACTAATCTCGCAACAGCAGAAAAGACGAAAATATATTCGACGTATTCTTACTAGTAATCCTTCTTCCTACCAGTAATGCTAATGGCACTCTGTGTAAAGTTAACGCAACCCCTGAGTCATTCGCCGCCAATTCGATCTTCGAACTGTGCAACTAGAAACCAATAGTCGCATCGTCGAACGCTCCAAAATATGCGCAAAATGTACTTATAGAACTAATTTTTCAACTTTTTTTCGATCTCAAAAGCAACACACACAGTTGAAAGAGAAATCACGGTTGGAACAAAATTCGCCAACTATGCAAAATTTTTAACCCCCACACCACAGTAACACGACAAATTAGCTGATAAATTCAAGAATCAAATTTTCAACCAAATAAGAAAGATCACAAGTTTAATCATTTTATTTTCTCTTTCAATTTATTTTTATCGAACCGTTAAGTCATAGACATATAATATGTGTTAAAAGCCAATTAATTGTAAATCGGAGTTTAAAGCAGTAATGACGTAACAATTTTGCTCTTTTTATGGTTATTTCTTCAATGTTCGAACAGAAGTAGAGCTTTTTCTAAGAAAAGCAACGGATGGACAAGACGACTGGAACTCTACAGTGACAATGGGACGTCAAATTACCACGCTTTGAATCATTTTTTGTGCTGGCTTGCACGTGTCGTACTCCTCAACACGTTGCTGACGTTACATCCGTAATTGTGCGACAAACACATCCGGCAGAAATGAAGATATGTTCCGATCCGCTCGTCGAAACACTCGCGAGAAAAATTGCCAGCGATTAACAGAATTAGGAACAGCTACCGCACTGCAGCCACATTCGCCAGACGATACGAAACCACTCGGCGCTTTCTTGAAACTTTGCTCGACCGCTTGTTCAGTTCAGCGTGGGGGTGAGATATTGATCCGTCAATTTTGCCCGCGAAACGCGGGGAGCACATTTGCCTATTGCCGACGGATGATGAAGCTAATGATGATCAATGACGATTCCTTGTGATGGGACTTGGATCGAACCTCACAAAAGCTCTTCTGACAAAAGCTATCTATTTGTAACACAGCTGAGAAACGAAATGAATAAAATTATTGTTTTGTATGTGATATTGTCGATTTACGAGAGAAAGAGAAAATTGAAACAAAACTTCCCAAAGTTCAAATTGAAATACCTAAATCGGTTCAGAAAATTTTTTACATTTATTTTTTAAATATTTAACTACAGAATAAAATATACTACGTGCTGAAATTCAGTGCCCGAGATAAAATGGATTAGATCTAATTTAAATCTAACGAGATAAAAAAATGGAAAAATAGATCTATTTAGATCTCAATTAAATCTAAACAGATTCTAAGTAAATCTAAGTAAATATAAAGTATATATAAATCTAAATAGATATAAGTAAATCTATGTAAATTTACACTTTTATTTATTATTAGATCTACTTCTGATTTACTCAGATCTATTATATTAGATCATCTTAGATCTGTTCAAATCTGCTTAAATCTAAGTAAATCTGAGTAGTTTTAATATAGTAGATCTGAGTAGATCTAAAATAGACTTGACATATAAAAATGTAAATTTACATAGACTTATATTTCTACTTATATTTATTTAGATCTACTTTATATCTATTTATATTTAATTTGGATCTAATTAGATCTATTTTTCCATTTTTTTATCTTGTTAAATTTCAGTTAGATCTAATTTTTTTCCGGATGCGTAAACCTTATTTATCTTATTAAATGTTTAAAAAGTAGAAAAATATGTATTTTTTTAATCACAAAAATATTTTTAATCACAGTTACACTGCCAAGAATCAATTGATCAATGAATATATTTAAAAAATTACTCCACACAAATATGGTATAAATTGTTTTCTAAGTTTTTCAATAGTGAAGCAGAAATCTTACTTGTGTAGAAAATCAAATGTGCTAATATCATTATCATATTATTTCATTATTATTATTATTATTATTATTATCATCGTTATTAATATTATAATAGACTGTTCGAAAAAGGTTTATAAATGCTTTTGCATAAAGAATACTAATTAAACTGTGTATGATCACAATCAATGATAAAATGTTTGATAATAGTTTATTATCTATTGTCATTTATTTTTACATCTATTGATTATTATGATTATAAAATATTACTTAACAGATACATTCTCACAGAATACATTAATTTTTTTTTTAAATAGTTTAGGAAAGAAATAAATATACATATTGTCAAGGTGATTAAAAATATAGAGTATGTACATTTTTATCTTTACATCCATTATTATTTTACAGTTATTTTAACAAAGCAACATAATTTATTTAACCTCTATTCTAACCTTTATCATATATATACATACATATACTAGTGTTTTGAGTAATAGACATCATATGTATTTAAAGAACTAGTATACTTTGTTTCATTTATTGTGAATGCTATTTCACACTTTATGAAGCTTCCCATTTCTCTTTTTCTTCCCGCTCTTTTATCACTTCCTCGATATATGGCTGAAGATACAAGACATCCTGTAAGAATATTGTTAAAATACATTAAATAACTAATTATAAAATCATATATTTAGTAAATAATAAGTATTACTATTTAGTAACTAATAAATATTACTTTTAGTAAGTAATAATAATTTGTTGAAACAACGTAAAATTTTCGGTCAATAAGAGCCATACGCTGGATGTTGTTGCGCATCTTGTATATATATATACATATATGTTCGTGTGAATTTTTACACGTGAGTTTCGAATTGAAATTTCAATTCTTAAATTCATATAAGATGCTATATTTGCATCACATATATAAAGCCCCTTGCACAATGGACGGAATAGTGATAGCGATAGAAATAACAAAAGTTTTAAAGAGTTTATATTTAAAAATAAAGATAGGAACAGCGGAATCTAACATACAAAAATACACATGTATCAATGCAGATCAGCAAATCGGAATAAGCAATAGCGATAAAATTTCCGACGAGTTGGAATTCTGTGTTAAAAACTGTGTTATTTCTATTGCTATCGCTATTCCTTCCATTGTGCAAGGGGCTTAAGAGTCTCCGTATACCCTCCTAACTAATTTTAAAATATTACGAAAAAAAACTCTTTGGTCAGGAGTCGAACCTGGAATCTCCGGCTTTCCGTGCCGTCGCCTTTCCTATTCGGCCACCGAGGCACTTGGAGTTTGTCTCGCAATATTTGTATATATCAAAAAGTAAGTTTAAAATAACGCACTTCTACCGACCTAAATTAATAAAGAGTTTAAGGCTCTTGAAATTCAAACAACGTGAAATTTTCGGTCAATGAGAGCTCTTTATTAAATTACGCTAGTGGAAGTGCGATATTTTAAAATTACATCTTGATATATACGAATATTGCGAGACAAACTCCAAGTGCCTCAGTGACCGAATAAGAAAGGCAACGGCACGGAAGGCCAGAGATTTCATGTTTGACTCCTGGCCAAGTTTTTTTTGCAATATTTTAAAAATTAGTTAGGAGGGTATACAGGGTCTCTTATATATGTGATGCAAATATAGCATCTTATATGAATTTAAGAATTGAAATTTCAATTCGAAACTCACGTGTAAAAATTTACACAAACATATATGTATATATATGTATATATATATATATACAAAATACGTGACAACATCCAGCGTATGGCTCTTATTGACCGAAAATTTTATGTTGTTTGAATTTCAAGAGCCTTAAACTCTTTAAAAATTTGTTGTTTACTGACATCTTCTAATTGAGTCCACTGCTCCTTAGGCAGAACTTTTCTTTGGCAATCCAATTGCATGGCTCTTATTATACGGAAGTTGCGTTCATCTTTAATATGTTGCGGTAGACGTTTGAGTGCTTCCTTTACATCTTTATTTTCATAAAGCACATCGTCTCTCCACAGTCCTGGGGACAGAAAAAAATCATTTTCCGAATTTAAGAAAAATGATTCAATTTCTCAGTATTGATCATTCATGCGAAAAAACTCGCTATGTAAATATTACATTACCATATTGGTTAAATCCGCTAAGGTTATAGCACCACTTCATGAAGCTAGTGTCTGAAATAAAAATAAAAGTGTTATGTAAGATTTCTTCTTGTGGAGAAAAAATCAAGATGTTATATTTTAAACTGTAAATTTTAGGAAAAAAAGATAATTACTGATTAATTTATGTGCACGCTGGCTCATTTTCGAATAGGATTGTCTACACTAGACTTGCAAACTCGCAAGGATAATTTTTCTGTCACTTTACACTTTAATCTCGCTTATAAAATTCGAAATGGCGTTGTACCACAGAGAATAGGTGCGTTCGCTTTGGTTTGGTTGGTTAGTGCAAAAATGGCTCAGTAGACTGAATTAAGTTAGTCCATACGCGGCGTTCGCTTTGAACGCTTAAAGCCATGGTGTATAAGGAATATAGGGCCGTATTCATAATCCTTAAGTTAGCCTTAAGTTTAGTCGAGACGCCCTCTTCATAGGACGAACTCTTTCTTAACGCGTTACGTTCATAGACGTATAATATATAGACTGCGCGTTTGGCTGGAAAGATGTCTTCAACGTTGAGAGAGACAACATACTTTGAATAGTAACTCTTTCTCTGTCTATCATTTACCCCACTACTTTGCTAGACAAAGATGAGGCTACTATTCAACACCAGCTGTCTCTCTCTCAACGTTGAAGACATTTTCTTAACATGGCAAAGGTAGGGAACGCGCAGTCTATATATTATACGTCTATGGTTACGTTACGTTAAGGCCTGGTTTATGCGGGTCTAAGATTTTAATATTCCTGTTTATTAACAGAAGCATTGAAATCCTATAGTTGAACTGTACCAATTCCGGCATAAATTAACAGTTATTACCCTCATAAACAAGGCCAAAACAAGGCCTTATTTGCCCGCATAAACCAGGCCTAAGTTTATAGCCAACTTAGGCCTGGTTTATGCGGGCAATAACTGTTAACTTATGCCGGAACCGGTAGAGTTTAACTATAGGATTCCAATACTTCTGTTTATACGCATTCGGCAATTTCGTATAAACAGAAGTATTAAAATCATATAGGTAAACTTTACCGGTTCCGGCATAAGTTAACAGTTATTGCTCGCATAAACCAGGCCTTAATGTCTGTTCGTTTTACCTGAACTGGCCGCTCTAGGTCAGAGTTTATCCTTCTTTTTCCAACGTAGAGTAAAGAAGATGAACTCTGACCTAGAGCGGCCAGTTCAGGTAAAACGAACAGACATTTAGATTTGTACGTAAACTTGAACGTCATTCAACGCACAAACTAATATTTAACGTAAAGCCCGTTCCACATTGATTGCAAGCGCAAACGCAAGGAATAGATCTCGCAAAATTGACCAATCACGCTGGTCAATTGGCTGACTCGATCAATACGATTGGTCAATTCTACGAGACCAGTCCCTTGCGTTTGCGCTTGCGATCAATGTAGAACAGGCTTAACGTAACGTTAATTACTAATCATAAACTTAGATTTGTATGTAAACTTGAACTTTATTCAACGCACAAACTAGTACTTAACGTAAAGCCCGTTCTATATTGATCGCAAGCGCAAACGCAAGGTGTAGATCTCGTAGAATTGACCAATCACGCTGATCAATTGACTGATTTGATCAATACGATCAGTCAATTCTACCAAATCTGGGAGTCGATTCTGTATCACGCAGTGTAGTGAAAATGACAAAAGTGAGCAAATTTACTAAAATATCTATGATCTTATTGGTCAACAACTAGTAAATTTGCTCACTTTTGTCATTTTCACTACATTTCATGGATACAGAATCGACCTCCTGGGTACCGATTGTGTATTTATGCGAAGTAGTGAAAATTACAAAAGTGAGAAAATTTACTAAAATATCTGTGATTTTATTAGTCGACAACTAGTAAACTTTCTCACTTTTGTAATTTTCATTACTTCGCATAAATACACAATCGGTACCCTGTTCTTTGCGTTTGCGCTTGCGATCAATGGTCTAGTTTCCACCGAAACATTAATTCACACCAAATGCGACGTAGAATCAAATTCAAGTCGATGGAAACCTGTCAAATTGTGCTGATTTCACTTCCGCTTCGATCTATAAGTACTCTACTTCCAATGGAAACAGAGCACTAAATTTGATCAGTACCGGAGTGAAACCGAATTGAGGGTTTCGGTAGAAACTAGACCAATGTAGAACAGGCTTTACGAAAGAGTTTGTGCGGAAGCCCTAAAATTGGTAGCGTGCTAATATCCCTAGATGTGACCAGTAAATGTCCCTAGAAACGGGAACTACTTTGCCAATGCGGATTTACTATGGCGCGGTGTAGCTCGGCCGTGGGTATATAAGAAGCGTGGAAGGTGTTGCGAGCGCTTCCTGCCCAGTAAGATTAGTTGAGTTGTGTTTATACGTGTGGTTGTGTGTTCTTTCTCAAATTAGGCCACACAACCTACGACCCAAAAAAAATTAAAAAAATCTTCGAAAAAATACAAAAAAATTGAAAAATCCGCTGAAAATCGTCGCAACCGTCGACATATACTGAGGCGCAGCACTCCGCAGCCGTCATCATGAATCCTGGAGCGCCCAACTATCCCATGGCATCGCTCTACGTCGGCGATCTGCACACGGACATCACCGAAGCGATGCTGTTTGAGAAATTCTCGTCGGCTGGACCCGTATTGTCGATACGTGTCTGCCGCGACATGATAACTCGTCGCTCGTTAGGCTATGCATATGTTAACTTTCAACAACCGGCCGATGGTGAGTCATTGCAATTTTATCAGTTTTGTCAGACTTATCGCGAATGACGCAACGTGGACACACGAATGGCCGCCTGCTGCGTGCTCCACACGTGCTGCGCTATATGCCTACTATCGATGGCAACCATATTGAATTCGCGACCTCGCTGCATAATAATGGGTAACGGTTAAACAAGCGGGATTGAAAGGGAAAAAATATAATTTCACTGTATCTTGAAGGTTCATCGAACGAATACATCATAGATTCCAGTTCCTACCACGAGGAGACGAGTCCTTTGCTCTATTTACGTGACTCGCATTTTTTTCTGTTTCGTGCTATGAAAACCGTAGAATGAGAAAGAAATGTTTAAGAAAGAAAAAAAATATTGTGACTAAACATGTAGCCTTCCGTGTGTATTTCATATCTCGTTTTGCAAATAACATCATTCAATTTGAATATAATACGAGTTCTGTAGAAACGTGAGCTTCTGGAAACTTCTAGAGAAAGTATTAATTTGAAAAGAAAAATATGTTAAAGCTCTTTCAATCTCTCTGTTTAACCTTGAATTTCACATCTGAGACTATATAAGAGCCTTAAAGATAAAGGAAGAAACTTGAAAATCTTGAGATTATAAAATCCAAAACTTTCTTGTTTTGTCACAGATTTTTTTCTATTCTCATAATGTTTCTTGAAACAAAATAAAATATAGTTCACAACCATATGGATATAGATATTTTTTTCTGTGTAATTTGCTGTAATGTTTTTTCTTATTATCAATTTATTTAAACAATTTTTTTATCAGTTTTGAGTATCTGTTATCAGTATTAAATATCTTAAAATTTTATCAAATAGATTTTAAAGCATCAGTTAAAGAAAATAAATTTGATTGTGCAATTTGTATGAATAAATTTAGAAAGCTTACTCTAAATATTTACAAAAATTATAATTTAACTAAATTCACTACACAATTTTATTTTTGTATATACACAAATTTTATGGTAAAAAAAAAGTTACTTTTTCAAAATATGGAATTCTTTTTTTACTAATATAAAATTAATAGGTTTGTTAAGATAAATGTGTGTTGTTTGTTTCAGCTGAGCGAGCTCTCGATACAATGAATTTTGACATGATAAAAGGGCGTCCTATTCGAATTATGTGGTCCCAACGTGATCCCTCTTTAAGAAAATCAGGTGTTGGAAATGTATTCATAAAAAATCTTGATAAAAATATAGACAATAAAGCAATGTATGATACTTTTTCCGCTTTCGGTAATATACTGAGTTGCAAGGTTGCACAAGATGAGTCTGGCGCCTCCAAAGGCTATGGCTTTGTCCATTTTGAAACCGAAGAAGCAGCAAACAAGTCTATTGATAAAGTCAATGGCATGTTATTAAATGGAAAGAAGGTAAAGTAGTAATAATTGTTCTTCATGTTGATAATTACTCATAATTAACGTAACGTTTTATTAGCTTTAATTAATCAACAAGTTTTGAACTAATATTTTTGGTTTTATTTTTTTACAGGTGTACGTTGGTAAATTTATTCCGCGCAAGGAACGCGAGAAGGAACTGGGTGAGAAAGCTAAGCTGTACACGAATGTGTATATAAAGAACTTTGGGGAGGACATGACAGACGACAAGCTTAAAGAGATGTTTGAAAAGTACGGGACCATTACTAGTCACAAAGTGATGAGCAAAGATGACGGTAAATCACGTGGCTTTGGATTTGTTGCGTTTGAGGACCCGGACGCAGCTGAGCAGGCAGTGCTCGAACTAAATGGCAAGGAAATTGCGGAGGGCAAATGCATGTACGTCGGGCGTGCTCAAAAGAAGGCCGAACGTCAGCAAGAATTAAAACGAAAGTTCGAGCAACTAAAAATTGAACGTCTGAACCGCTACCAGGGTGTAAATCTGTACGTGAAAAACCTGGATGACACGATTGACGACGAACGTTTGCGAAAAGAGTTTACTCCTTTCGGTACGATTACGTCCGCGAAGGTAATGATGGAGGAAGGACGTAGTAAAGGTTTCGGCTTCGTGTGCTTCTCACAACCGGAGGAAGCCACAAAAGCGGTTACAGAGATGAATGGGCGCATTGTAGGCTCGAAACCTCTCTATGTTGCTTTGGCACAGCGCAAAGAGGATCGAAAAGCTCACCTCGCTTCTCAGTATATGCAACGCATGGCAAACGCTCGTATGCAGCAGATGGGTCAAATATTTCAGCCTAGCAATGCCGGAAGTTACTTTGTGCCTACGTTGCCGCAGCCACAGCGATTCTACGGGCCCGCTCAGATGGCGCAGATTCGTGCTACTCCACGCTGGCCAGCACAGCCGAATCAAGTGCGCCCCAACGCCCAGACAGGTAGCTCTGGATTTGCATCAATGCAAGCCGCACCTTTCAGAACGGCGCCGCGCACTCCAGCAGCACAAACTGGAGCCTTGCGTAACAGCATGTCTGCTAGACCTATCACAGGTATGGATAGGTGCATTAGGAAAAAACGTGCTTCTAATGTTAATCATAATGAATCTCAATATTATAATTATATTCCTACACCTTTTGTTAGTATTTACGGTTAAGCGGATGTTTATTTGCGGATTTTATTCAATTTTTCTTTTATTATCTTTTAATTTTATCAGAGCTTGTTTTGAAACAGAAATTCGAACGTGTCCTTTAGTTAACAAAAATTTGAAACATTTGAGACTGTTTCAGATTTAAGTTGAGAGAACTATAAATTTAAAAAATCTGATAGTTACAAAATGGCTCACGGACAGTTATAGTGAATCAGTGGAATAATGAAACAAAAACCTTTTTTTCTTTTTTTAAATATTTCTTGAAAAAAAAACAGTTATGTATGACTAAACAAACTTTCTATTTATATCTGTGGCTGACAGAAGGTTTTAAGATGTTTAAAAGTAAAATATATATTTTTTTATATTTTTTTATGTAAAATAAAATTTTTGTTTACGTAGTTTTAAATTATTTATTACGAAGTTTATTGCGACTTGTAAATCCATGTGTCATGTGATCTCCTATATATACATTCACACATTCACACATACATTACTTCCATACTCATGATTACTTTATGTTCAAATACACATATACATAATACAATTTTATTTCTTTTAATATAACAGTTATCTTTTGTAAACACGATCTATTATTAGAGATAAAATTGCTTTTACATCTCTAAATTTTAAATCTTGAGTGTACATATACATATGTATATATAAACTATATGTATATATATAGTTATGGTATATACCTAACTTATATACTATGTACATATATAGGTATGTGTGTGTGTGTGTGTACACTTTTTTTAAAGAATAAAACTATATAATTTAGATATAAAAATAAATTGAATCTTAATATTTTTTAGTACAAATTTTAAGTCGTATTGTGAGAATAAAAATAATGATACTTGATATTGAATTCTAAGTAGTAAAATATGAAAATTATGTCGTAAAATTATTGTTTAAAATTTAAAAGTAGCATACAAAGTCAAAATTGTTATACACATTCTACTAATTTGCATATTTACATTCAGGAAACAACATTTGCACAACAGTTGAAAAATTATCACTTGTGATTGGATGATACTCGTGGAACTGTGATAGATTTTGAGAAATAGTCCGATTACAAGTAATAATCTATCAACTCTTGAGTTTTCTGAACATAACCATTGACAGATAATTAGCTACACGTGCACATATACCAAAGTAATTGACCATTTTAAGAATCACCAAATATTGTTGAGTTTCGGTACATTTGAAATTCAGTATAAATAATATAAGATTTTCAAGATATCACAGATGTAATCTAAGTATAACGAAATAATTAATTTTTTTATGTTTTGTTTAACTTTTTTATACAAGGTGTTAAATGTTACAAGTGATATTATACAAATTTTGTATTAAAAATTATAAAGTCATTTAATTCGAGAGATATCTGAAAAATTACAATTTCTTTCAGGTCAACAAGCGGTCGGTGGTGCTAATATGCAGAGCAGGTCTATGGCTGGACCAGCTGTTGGAGTCTCACCTGGGCAAAGTCGTCCGTCCAACTACAAATACACAGCGACTATGCGTAATCCACCTCAGGCGGCTATGGCGCTACCAGCACAGACTCCTTCAGTGCAAGGACAAGCTGTTCATATCCAAGGGCAGGAGCCGCTCACCGCGTCGATGTTGGCTGCGGCGCCACCACAAGAACAGAAACAAATGCTCGGTGAACGATTGTTTCCGTTGATTCAATGTATGTACCCACAGTTGACGGGCAAAATCACTGGTATGCTGTTAGAGATCGACAACAGTGAACTACTTCACATGCTGGAGCACAACGAATCGCTGAAAGCCAAGGTCGAGGAGGCTGTGGCCGTATTGCAAGCCCATCAGGCCAAACAAGCAGTTGCACCGAAAAAAGAATAAAGCTATACCTTTCCTGAGTCATTTATTTCTTTGTTATACGCTTTGTGTACATTTTATGTACTCTTGCTCTTTTTTTCTCTAAAAATTCAAACATACGTAAGTACATTGAATTGTAGTTCTACGAAACGATTTTGAGCAAAAATTATTGAATTGAGACATACAATATACTATATTCTTTCTTCACTTATTTTTATTTTTCTGAATTTACTCTAATTTAATTGTCTAAGTATAATGTTTTTACACAATGAAATTGCTTTCAAGGAACTTAACGGCGGCTCGTGAGTGATTGTCGCTTAGGTATAGAAATGTATACTCCTTTTACGATGTAAAACTTTAGAAGGAGAAGCCTTTTATGATTGATGTATCCGAATAACGCTCAGTGAGATATTGATTGTGAAAAAGCTTCTCCATCTAAGACTTTACGATAATAAATTTTCTTTCAATGTAACTGACAATCGGCGTTCATTTTTTATATTGTCCTTTTATATTTTCCTTCTCAAAACTCATACACTTCTTAAATAGCAAAAAATCGTAGATGATATCGTCACTCCCTACGTATAATTACATAAGTGTCACATATGGGATTTTCAGTTTATTGCATAATGACACTTAGAAAGTCATGTTCTTTATGGTCACCAAATATTAAAAAAAAATATTCATAAATAAGGTACAAATTTGAAACCGAAAGATCCCTAACTATAGGGAAACATATGAAGCTTTATACTTTTAAACTGCTCTCCTCTAAAATTTGCGTTTTGGAGTTACGGGATTATACGTAGGGAGTGACGATATATGGTGTAATAAATGGTAACCCTACACAGTCAATCGCTCGTGACTTTTTATCGTCTCTGGTTTCTTGGTTTCTTAGAAAATAGATTAGGCTAAGTCAGATTACATTAAGAGTAAGAAGTCCAGATAAAGTTTGTGTTTGACTTCCCAGATAACCAAGACTGAGTGAGCATATTTTGCAAGATCTGCAATAACACATTTATGCCAATCCAATGTAGCCAGCATTCAAACAATCTGTTATTTCAACTAGTGTCGACAGAAAAACAGAAAAAAAAAGAATTATAAATGTGTCATGTCGTGATATATTATTGCAAATATTATTGCATCAATCAAGCAGAACTTGCTCAAAAAATGTAGATTTGAAGCATAACGTGCTATTGTCATTTAATTCTTCATTTATTTCTATATTTTTGTTTTCTTTACATATTGTGCCTACATAATTCACTCACTATGATGACACAGCTGAGTGGAATCTGCTGCAAAGTGCTGATTAAATCTACGTGCATTGCTATCATTTGGCTATCGGGGTTGGTTGTAATCTCGTGTTATGTAAAACATACTACTAAAGCGATAAAGAGATTGGTTACCCTAAATCTTTCTCCAGAGTCGCTTATTGGTGTGCGTTATATATTTTTTTCTTTTTATGGGTTAAAAAATGTATATATATATATATATTCATACATATATATTAAAAATATATTCATACACAATGCAGAATATTTAATGCTAGTGATAAAATAGTTGGTTACACGATCAAATCTATTGCAAAAAAAAACGCGAATACAAAGCATATCTTATTGCGCGTGCGATGTCTAATTGAAAATAAGCCCGCGCTTGTCCAGGAAAAGTTTGCTCGTACATGTTTCTCTGATGCGATCATCTGATTGGTGGGTGTGAAAAGTTGCGACCTACTTTGCCACTTGGATAGGCTGTACGCTGGTAAAGAGGGAGGAGATCTCGATTTTGTCAGTGCTGGTCAGTACTGCGTACTACCAGTGGTATCAGGAAGGTGAGTTGGTGCATTTTTGCCGGTTTTTGCGAAACGTGAGTGTGTGCACGAAGAGTTTAGTCGGTAGTTTGTGTCGGTATTTTCTTCGAAGTAACATAGTCGAGAGCAAAAGACAAAAAGAGCATCGACAAAGCCGGGTTGACACCGGGTTTGATGCGTGTTGCATGAGCGCTCGGTGAGAGAAGGTCTCGGTGACGGTAGCTGATAACCCGATAGCCGATAGAATTCGATTGTTCAATCTGTCGTTTAACGACGACGACCAACGAGGTCTCATCGCGCGCGCAAGAGAGAAAGAGAGGTATAGAAGATACATTCCTACACGTAATCGCATTCCCCGTTTTCTAATGACCTCGTTATACACAATGGACATGTCCGTTTGCGTCTGCATGTTTTTTTCGCGAAATCGGTCGTCTAGTCGTCATGGAAGCTCATTACTAGTGGTATTGCAATTTTAGATATCGGAGGCGGTGCGCGATTCATCTCAATTTCGTTCGTTTGCACCGTTAAGTACAGCATATGGTAATAGAACGCCGGAAACGTCCCGATTGCAAGGTTGTGTTTATTTGTTCTTGACCCAATCTCAAACTTAGATTTTATTCAAGCGGAAATCGTGCGACTTCGTATTAGTCTTCTGGTACGCGACAGAATGTAGAACAAAATTACATGTTCATATGTTTCAAGTGCAAAAACCTGTTGGATTGAGGTAGAATAAAATGCGTGAGAAAAAAATATTGTGCCTTGATTGAATTCTATATATTTCGAATGTCGTGACAACAATTACGAATAAACAGTAAAGTAAATATCGCGAACAAATGTAGCAGCGATGGTTTGTAATAGGTAAAATGATTCTTTCGGACTGAAAGATATTTTTATATCTATGTACTGTGTTCTTTATATCTGCTGATATAAAAAAAGTTTCAATAGACTAATGAAGATTTAAAAGTGAGGAAAATAAGAGAATAGTAAATTTTAAACAAGATTAGTTTATAAAACTGCTTAAAAGATTAAATTAATAAATGTGAAAAAATACATATAACATATAGTTGTGAAAAAACTCTAGCGTGTAAGATCTTGTGTGTCTATACTGTGTTATATATAGCTTTTACACAATAAGTGCAAAATATGTTTTAAAGAATATTTACATTAAATTAAAAAATTTCTATATGATTATACAGAAAATATATAATGTTGCTTTATACAAACTTTAGCTCTATTTTATTCTCAAGAAGGAGAAATACCAAGTAGAAATAGTAATTTGTATTTATTTTTTATTTGTGTTATATGTTGCTTGCTCTCTACTTGCTTTATTCTCACACAATTATATCTTTCTTTCTGGCTATGGAATATATTATACAATCTTTCTGTTTATTAGCAGAACAAATGTAGATATTTAAAAGATATGTCTTGTGTACAAAATTGTCATGTTTCACTCGATAACAATGTTTTTACTTTTTTCCTTAATATATATTAAAAATAAACTTTTTTAATATTACAAATATTTATGTGTGTGAAGAAATATCAGTCTCTTTATTTTTTTATGAAAACAATTATAAAAAATTGTAAAAAAAGATATATTAATATAATTCATGTAATCAATATATATTAATTATTAATTCTATGTAATGCAATTACATATATAAATAACAAAGAAGAGTAATAAATGTGTCATATAAAAATATAGATACTTGTGCGATGTTAAATAATCTGTAAGTAAGTGACATAACAAGAAAAGTATTTATTGTTAAAGTACCTACATTTGAAATCGTTGAAAGCAGAAATTTTCAAAGATTTCTTGCTTTTTTCACGCTTCTTGTTTTGTGTGACTACTTGCTTATATTGATTTTGTTATATGTGTACAACTGTTTGTACTATCAAAATTATTTATAGCTATTTTTCCAGTTTTCTTTCTCTGATTATTGTCATTGTTTGTATATACATATATGCACATTATATCGATATCTACATATTACAAATTGTATTTTATACATAATGTATTTTAAATATTTGAATTAATATTTAAAATTATGTTTCTTTCTCTTTTTTGTTACTTTCTTATTTTAGAGTATATTTAACCGATATTTGAATATTTCTTATATTATTTCTTTTATGAAAGACCATGACGATGGATAAAAGCGAAGTCATAAAAAATCTGCGATCATGTTTGATATCGTGCAAAGGCGGTATTAAATTAACCAATTTAAGAGGTAAGAAAATTTCCTTAATCTTATTAATAATTAGTATTCTATATACAGGGTGTCCTACCTAACTTGAGCATCTTAAATATCTCGCTTATTTTTTATGATAGGAGGATGCCGAAAAGGGTCATTATTCAGTTCGAAGAGACAAATATTGTAATAAACAGGAAATTTTTTTCAAGATCATATTTTTTAAGATTTCAAGATCATTGTCAGTTTTTTAATCTGAAAGTACATATTTTTGTCCTCGCGATATGATAGGCAAGGTCAAGATAAATCCAAAAAGCTCTTGTTTATTACAGTATTCGTCTCCTCGAATTGAATAATGACCCTTTTCGGCATCCTCCTATCATAAAAAATGAGCAAGATATTTAGGATGCTCAAGTTAGGTGGGACACCCTGTATATAGATTATTATAATTCTTCTCTAATAATCTTTAATATATACAACCTGCGCTGTAATATCATCTTGAACACAATTACTTTAATTTTACTTATATTTTTATCAGCTAAATCATTAGCTAATTAATTCATTTTATTTTAAAGGATAAAAAATAAATATTAAGTTTGATAAGAGAATTTCTTTTTAGATGATTATCTCACAGTAGTGGGAGAAGCACTACCTTTTAGACAATTCGGATATTCTTCCGTGGAAGACTTTGTACGAAATATATCAGAAGTTTTGGTGACTAACAAAAATGGAGAATTATACGTGGAAGCTAAGCCGTCCGATACAACAGCGCATCTTACAAAATTAATAGCCCGACAGAAATCACGAAAAGTGAAACGACCCAAGAAAGTAACTATCAATACATTTCTGACAATTATATATATTTCTATTTCTGATAATTATATATATTTCTATTTCTGATAATTATATACTTTGATTAGTAAACTTTCACCAATAAGTAAAGGAGTGATCATTTTTTGATTTAAATGTTTTGTGACACACATACAAATCAAATAGTAATAATAATTTTTTATGGTCTTCAAGACCAAACAGATTTTATCTTAAACGTGTTTTATAATACTGTCATTTATACAAGATATATGAAGTGAACAATTAAAATAGGATTCTTTCTCTCCCCTCTCTTGTCTCTCTGTTTTCCTCTTTATCTCCCTCTCCTCCTTCTCTCTCTAACTGAGTGAATAAGTGAGTTAAAGTTAATTACAATATAATCGAAACACACACACACACACAAATAGTTTTTTTAATTTAAAAATATAATATATCACGTAAAAGTGAACTGTAATAGAATTCTTTTCTGTTTCGTTCAACAGGTTAATAAAGGATTCTTTCCTAGAAGAACTAACTTTAATAGCTCTCAACGCATACGTGCTAAGAGCAATTATGCTGATTCTTCTAGCTCCTTTATTAGATCAGCTTCGAACAAGAGTAATTCACACACTAATTATTCATCTACTGATTTATTCAGGTAGTCAAAAAAGACTCACGTATTATTATATATATTTTCCGTAAAAAGCATAAAAATCTATAACTAATATTATTTTATTTTATTTTTTTAAGACCACCACCACTTATGCAAACCATAATGCATCCACTGCCCAATTACAACAAACCAAGCTTTAGTTCTGGTACACCACCAGTGGCCTCTATCTCCACTAAAGTGAGTATAGATTTAAAAAAACTTTTAACGTTTTCAACTTGTACAGGTCGAAAACGCTATGAATATGTTTTACTAACTGTAGATTACACCGTTATTAATCGTACTTATTGTGATTTCAGAGACTGAATGACAAAATGACAAATCTTAATATAACAACAGCAAACCAAAGCATTAATCATAATCAGAATAATGAAAATTTAAAACCTAAAGTATTAATTGACAAATCAGCAACTGTGATACCTGTACAATCAAAAAAGACTGCGGAACAGAAACCTTCTAAATTAAGTGAAAGGCTGAAAATTACTCTTCCTAACTCAAGTTCTTCTCCTGTAACTTTGTCACCATCAATTGATAATTATAGCAATAATACTTCTTCAATCTATATTCCACCTACTTCTAATGTTTTGAAGGTAATAAACTGAGATCAACGATTTACTTGATCGAAGTATAAAATTTTTTGTAGAACTAAAGGTTTTCTTGTAGACCATATCGAAATCGAAACCTCTCGATCCTCGGCAAGAACTGGAATCATATGCCAGAGAATTGAATTTATCAACCCCAGTTTATTGGATATCCTCGAACAAAGAGAAACACTCGGCTAAGATCACTGTTTATGCCGGAGTGAGAGTAAACACACTGATTGAATTAAACATTATTAAAGCGGATCGTATTGGACATTCAATTATTATCAATTTTCACCGATGAATCTTACAGGTTGGCACCCAAACGTTCTCTACATATCCGGAACCTGCGGAATCTGAAGAAGAAGCTAAAAAGTCCGCGGCGCGAATAGCTCTAACAAGTTTCTCCAAGGAATCCTTAAACTTGAGAGTGACGACGACAGTCGACATGAAATTAGTAAAGGAACGTATCTTACAAATCGTGAACCAACACACAGCAGGAGTTTTCATGCATCAATTACCTGTTTATTATAACAAACAATATGGAGAAGCATTACCCGAGGATTGGCAGACGATTGTCAAGGAATCTGCGGAGATAAACAAAGAGAAAGGTGCTGGCGATTGGACGATACTTTGTCAATGTTCTTCAACTTCAAAAGTAATTTATAAATTGCATTTTCTTCGGTTTTATGTGAAAAAATATTTACGCGAAAATCGAATCAAATATTTTACTTTTTTTAATCAGTTCTCAGAAAGTAACTCGATGTCATCACATAATGCTCCTGATCATTCAATATCTTTTCCGTCTGACGAAAAGATACATTTGAAACCGATTGGACCCGTCGTACCTGGTCAGTTGACATTGCCTCACGATGCTATATGGGAAGTATACACCGCTTGCGTCATAAACACTACTGAAGTTTGGGTCAGATTCGGCGATGATAATGTGAATAGACTATGTTTCTTCAATTCTGTTTTTTTCTTTTGCTAAGCTTTTCACAGCTGTTTTTTTTTTTAGGAGAAGTTTGTTAATATGATGAACAACATGAGAAAATATTATAATAAAGTGAAAGAAGGTGTCTCGGAATGCGTTGTTGGTGATTTCTACGCTCTGCTCGAAGACGATAGTTGGCACAGAGTTCAATGCATAAATTTTGATTCCGAAACCGAAATGGCTGAAGTTCGGTTTATTGACGTAGGATATGAGGAAGTTTATAAATCCAATTTGCTTTATCCTTTAGAAAAGGAATTCTGTGCTCTTCCTATTCAAGTAATCTTTCGGCTTAGTCGTATTTTAGTATATTTAAGCACTTTATGTTAATAATATATCACGTCATATATGTGTATATTTGTTTATTGTTGTTGTATACAGGCGATGAGAGTATCTCTTCATGAATTGGAAGAGTTTTGCGATTGTGCCCAGGTAGTTGCGGAGGTCGAAAATTATCTTCTAGTCGAACAAATGTTTGTTGTTAAAGTACATAGTATGGACTTCGACAACTCGTACGCAACAGTAACTTTTTATGACACTAGCGACGATACTGTCGATATTAACATAAACGAACTTATATTCGACAAGTTATTAAATGACATTGACGTTGCGAGCAAAATACACGTAATTATCCAGTTCAAATCGCATTTTGTCAATAATCTGTAATTTTAATGTAATTCTTTTTTTAATTTTTTTGTTCATATATACAGGGTGTCCCAGAATTGCCGTACAATCTCTCGTAGGCAGATAGAAAGAATAAAACTGAGTCGAAAAGTCTTGAACCACTTTTTTCTATTATTTATAATAATAGAGTAATTATTGAGTAAATCAGGCCAATCAGCGCCGACCTTTAGCCAGGCGCACGTCAGTGAACTGCGCGGAGTGCTCACCAGGCGCGTTTTTAAGACTGGTAAAACTTCGGTGCAAAGACAAAGATAAGAGGGCCCTTTAATTAATAATAATAATAATAATAGTAATAATAATTATTATTATTATCATTATTATTATTATTGTTATTATTATTTATTTAAGGCAATTGGACAAAAGTGTTTAATGATTTTTTATTTGTATGCAAATTTAGAAACGAACACCTCTTCGAACTTTAACCGACATAAATTTGTTTGCAACATCTTCCAAATTTAAATTAATCAAAACATTTTTTTCAATTGATAATAAAGTTAGATCAGATGTTCTTTCCTGTGTCATGGTACTTCTTAAATAACTTTTAAGTCTTCTTAATACACTAAATGATCTTTCGGCACTCGCAACTCCGATAGGTAATGTTATGAATATTATAAATTTATAAATGTTTATCATGCACCGAGGGCCCGCAGATCCCGGGGCCCGTCGGTGCATCGCACCGGTTGCACCGACGTTAAATACGCCTATGGTGCTCACACACACCAGGCGCGTAACTCACTGACGTGCGTCTGGCTAAAGATCTGCGCTGATCGGCCTGATTTATTCTATAATTACTCCTGTATTATAAGTAACAGAAAAAAATGGTTCAGAACTTTTCGACTCAGTTTTACTCCTTCTACCTGCCTACGAGAGATTGTACGGCAACTCTGGGACACCTTGTATATAAATATATATATATATGTACTCTGTGTGTGTATGTGTGTAATGTATTCTGCCCAATGAAAGAATATCTTCGGACGAAAACTTGTCTTTGCGCATTTTTCCTGTTACAGAACGCGAAAAGTCCCCCTTTTTGCTATATTTGTGTAGCTGCTAGCGAGTGTTTCGCGTGCAACGTTCTTTGCCCGCTATGCTTCCCCTATGCGCAGATCAAGGATATTCTCTTACTGAAATGGTCAGAGTACACACGCACGCGCACGCGCACACACACACACACACACAAACACACACATAAAACATATTTAATTGTTTTAGCCGGGAAAATTAATTGAATTATATGTTACGCATTTATACGAGGATGGAAAGATATTTGCACAGCTAAATACGCTCGCTAAAATTCTTTTAGACGAAGCCATATCGCAAATATCCAAAAGCGATGCGTTCGTTAAAACAATCTCTTTTACGAAAACATACCTTGTGAAATGGTGCCAGAAATGGCACAGAGTGAGAGTAATAGACATTCCAAATAACGATGACGTAAAAATATTTTTTATTGACCACGGTCAAGTTATTATAACATCGAAACAATGTTTGTTGAACAGGTCTTCAAAGGCTCTTGAACGTATTCCTCCACAAGTAAGAAAATAAAATTAATTTTTTCTATATTAAATTTTCAAAGATAAAATTTATATATGCAAGTTTTTGTATATGTGTTATATAAACAGGCAGTGCAAATTTTTCTGCATAACGTCGATACTGAATCGCACAGAGGACAGTTTGTTGAAAGATTTCGCGAGTTGGTTTTGGATGAAGACCTTCTTCTCGCAAAGGTTGTCAAAGTCAGCGCGACCGGAGTCCCGATAGTAGAAATTTTTAAACGTATTGGACCTAGCAATATGTTAGCCTCTATAAATACATCATTGACTTTGGGCAACGAACTGTCAAAGTAAATATTCAGATCTACTTTTGTATATTCGAGTTGCAACCGCCATATTGAATTGACATTCGAAAAGTGAACCATTTTTGTAATTTGTGTTGAAATAAACTACTTTTATTTCACATTCCAGTATTTGACAGCATGTTTCAAATTTTCGTGATACGTAGATGTACAACAAAACATTTATGTGACATTTATATCTTGCTTACAATATTAATTCAATATAGTTGCAACATATAATGCTCAGAGACTTGAAGATACAAGTTTATCACTATTATTATATTTTTTAGAGTTAACGACGATTTAGTTAACAATAACGTCAAAGTCAAGAAACGCTTAGAACGCAAGGTTTCTCGTGTTCTCGAATCAGTCGGTAATTTACAACCACCCACAATTTCTGATATTCGTAAATACTTCGACGTTCACGTGATTTTAGTCGCGCATCCAGGACATTTCATTGTTCAACCGCTAAACGATGCAAGCCACTTGGAGGTATTCGTATGCGATCAATTATTTTAAGTAATCGTAGTAAATTTTACACTGGAATTTTATTTCGTTTCCAGGCAATGATAATCAATCTGCAAAAGAGTTGCAACTCATACAACGGTCCACCGGCAGAATCTGTTGGCAAAGGCAAACTTTACGCGGGAAAATTCAAGGATCAATGGCGCAGGTATACGACATATTATCTCATCAATTTTTTTTTGTTTTTTTATTGTTTTCTTTTTTTTTAGCAAATAACAATTTCTTCGATTAATATAATGACTCTCGAGTTTTTCTTTTCAGAGTATACGTTACCAATATCATCAGCGATAATGAAGTATCTGTGTATTTTTGCGACTTCGGAGATGTGACGATACTGCCACGCGACAGTTTACAGCCTTTAAAAAGCGAATTCTTGAAATTGCCGTATCAAGCAATAAAAGCTAAACTTGTCGGTAAGACAAAAGTATCTTTTTTTTCCGTAATAGTACATTAGTTTTATGTAAACAACTTTAACTCTGATTTTAATAACGATTAGGAATTGAACCAATAAATAGCGATTGGTCGGTGGAAGACTCACTTAGATTTAAAGACTTGGTGCTCAACAAAAATTTTGTTTCGGTTGTTGTCGAATCATCGTCTGACCATTACTCACCGGCTAACGGCGTTGTACTCGGTCTACAGTTAATCGACGTTAATACCCCAGAGGATATATACATCGATAGATTGTTAGTAGAAGAAAAACGTGCCAAATACACCGAAGGATACCCGTCTGCCTATCCCCATCCGTATAATTAACTGGCTAATTAATAGGTGAAGTACATTTTTTTTTTTTTTTTTTTTAATTTTCTTAGCTTTTTATCTTTTCATAGAATAATGTGTATTGATAAATCTGAAAAATATCAAATTTTGTGTTTCTATACAATATGATAATGCAATACATGTTATAAAGGATAACGCATACAGGCACATCCCGGAGTTCGTTACCTTTGGTTTCAGAAAAAATACTTATAAGTCGAAGCGCTGTGTTAAATTCAGAAAACAATACGGTTAGGACTGAGATAAAAACAGATTTTTAGTAAGTTCTGATAATGCATTCGCGCGTGATGTTGTATCAATACTGTCTGACTAATGCCTTAACATATAAAGATATAATTTTTTTGTATAAGAAAGCATTATTGGAACTTGGTGTATAAAAACTGATTGAGTGAGGTGGCAAGATAGCAACAGTTATTACAACTCATTGCGTGATAGCGCCTTGGCGTTGAAGAGACGTAACTCCGAAAGCAAATGATTGTAATTCGGGACGAAGAGCGATTCTATAATATACGTAAGCGCAAAGCGTCATCAAGTCGGGATATGCCTGTAAATGTTTACAAAGTTTAGCATAACATTTTTGTTTGTAATCATATTTCAATGTTTTTCCAAATTTTTTAATATTGGACGGCAAAACGAAAATTTAAGGCAAAATTAGTAGAGGTTTATTTTCATATTTCTATTTGCAATTATTTATCTACGTTAACATTTATTAGAAACTTTATTCTTTATACATTTGTTAGTATTACAGAAATGTGTGTTACTGTTATATTGCAACATACATAAAGTTACATTATTAGTTACGAAGAGGCCAAATTTTGCGATATAAATAATAACTTATATTTTTTTGGAAGCGTTAAGTATTTTTATTAGCAATGTTACTTTTTAGTTCCTTGTTCTGTACTTTTACAGAACTATCTCAAACGTACTATATAACATTGTGTATGTATATATATATGTGTGTGATGTTTAATATATATATATATATATACATATATACATATATACATATATACACATATATATGTGTATATACTATATATATGTATGTATATATATATATATGGTGTGTGTGCGTGTGCGCGCGCGCGCGCGCGCGTGTGTGTGTAAACAATTTAAAAAGAACAGTGCTAAAGACAATATTGGCTGTGTATATAATATGTATATGAATGTTTTCATTATAAGTACCTAAAAGCGAAACACATTCCGTATTTAAAGAAAATACAGGTAACCCTCGTCCGTTCCACAGAACTACCATGTTATATATATCACGTTATACGAAGTTTGCATAAGCTTGCATATTGAAAAAATAGAGTTAGACTTCATTTTATCACAATTTGTAAACCATATTATATTGAAGTTGTTCAAGTACCGCGTTATACGAAGTTTACCTGTATACAAATGTGTTCTCTCTTGGAACTAACAAGTATGTTTTATATATATATATATGTATATATATATATAAAATAGGAATATTACGTTACAAGACAGAATGTATATAAGAAAGTGAGAATGTATATTGAAAATTTGCTCTTTTTGTATGTCTACCAAGAAATTTCTAAGAGTTAAAGAACGAAAATATTGTGATTTCAAAATCCAGATTGTTATGAAAACAAAGACACTTGTAATAGAAAGTAGAGATTTTTAAGTGTTTATGTAAAGAGAGAAAAAAATTGATTTTTGAATTTATAGGTATATTTTTAAGCAGCTGATAAATGAAAAATAGACTTAATGAAAAAGACAGGTTTAAGATTCAAGGCTAAGCATCCTTACGTTACAAAAACTTGTCTTCTCTATTATTAACTTATATTAACTTGTTCATATTTTGTTTCGCGCATATGATAAATATTAAAATAACTCGAGGAAGAAGAGTTTTAAGTTTCAAATGTTCCTATTTTATAAAAGTTTGTTTCTTCTTTTTAAGTTGCTTATGTTTATTTTGTTTAAAACAACTTGAAAATTATTTTGCGATACAGTGTAATTATCTATGCAAAAGTAATAAAATTGAATTCTAAAATATCGATTTTACTCTTGCATTTAAGGAATATCATTTATATTATATAGCACAAAAAAAGTAATACACGTTTAAACATTATATATACTCTTAACTAACATGATCTGATTATTGGAATAGAAATTAGAATAATTTATTGCTATATCGAAAATGTATTCTTATATAGAAGAGAGAATTATTTGTAAAAGATACTTTTATTTTTCTATTGATTCTTAAAAACAAATAATATATATAAAATAAAGTTTATGTACAATATAATTCTTGTTATAGATTTTTTGTGTGTGCGTGTGTGTGTGCTTACATTCGAAAATATATTTCCTGTATACCAGTTATACGACGATGTACAGAAACATAAATTTGAATTTTATTATATTACAATAAAAAAACCTGAATATTACTTATTTTTTTATCACAAATGTAGCATTGCTAACTCGCGAACAATCGCTTTCGGACGCTAGTACTGAACTTGTATCTTCGACTTTCGTGGCGATTTGATTGACGTTTTTGTCAAAATCCGGCAGTTCTACGATGTACGTGCCAATGCTATCGGGAGAGCTTACACGTGACAAACTTGTTTGTTCAGACTGATTTGTCGAAATGTGAAAATCATATGAACGATTTTGATTGTTGGAACGAGTCGCGAGATCGGATCGTGCGTTATCGCTGCTTCCGAGATCGTTGTGAAGATTCGTGGAATTTGTGGTATTATCCGAATGAGATATGTTCTGTTGTTGAAGAGCAATGTTGCTGGACGCAGAAGACTTTGCATTTCTGAGATAAGCGTTTTCCCTGCATCCGTTTACATTTAGAATTTGTTCACCGTCTATAATGTCTTCGGAAAACATTGATTTTTTGGACAACATCGAGTCAATTTTCTGAATGATACAATGTAAACGGTCTCGGCTCCTCTCCTTCCAGCTTAGCTCCATGTCTCTCAAACGACGAAGTTTCGCCCAAGATTGTTCCTCATTTTCAATTTGAATTACTATGTGATCGACCGCGGGATTGTGCAACGATGAACGCATTTCTTTCGTCTTTCTGTCGACTTTGCTCTTCCAAAATGAAGAATGATCTAAAATATTGAAATTTACTTCCTTGGCGTCATGCTGAGCTTGCGTTGCATTTCCCGTAAGATTCAATCCAACATCACTACCGTCCACAGTTTTATTAAATCTCAAAACACGAACTGGTGTTGGACTGCCGAAGGTCGAAAATGCTAACACGTGGTCGTAGGGATGGTAATCCACACAGGTAACAACCGTTTTGCTCCGTCCGCCATTCGTATATTTGGCTACATGCTTACCTGTCTCAAGATTCCAGATGTTTAACACGGAATCCTCTCCGCCGCACAGAATCAGTCTTCCGCAGGGAGATATGCAAGCTTTCAATTGTATTCTGTAAAATAGAAAGAAAACATACTCAAAAAATAATTGAAAGACTTATAAATAAACAATAATTTTTCCTATTTTTAATGATAATTAAAAACTGAGAAAAAATAATGTAATAATAATATAACAATCTGATAATTTGTAAGCGATCGACGCACCTTTGATTGTTTAGCTGTTTATACTTCTGCAAGATTATACCGGTCGCGAGATCCAACATTCGCAAACCGTTGTCTCGCGAATGGATGAGAAGCCGGGACTCGAGAGGATGCAGGGCAATTGTATTTATAATGACACCTTCGATCTCGGAGATCTTCATCTGTCTCGAAAAACACCACTCCATCTTCGATGTCATTCTATTGTTTCGACGCACCGTCCAAAGGATGATCGATCCCACGCTGTCCGCCGTAATTAAGTTACCGTTTTTTTGAAATACCATAGAATTGACAAAACCCTCGTGACTTTCCAATTCTTGACTCAGTTCCCGCTTTTTCGATCTCTTGCTGTTTGCCCAAATGCGAACCACTCGATCATAACATCCCGTTGCCACAATTGTCGTCTTGCCAGGAACGTATTTTGCGCAATAGACATATGACGGATGTGGTAGAATCTATGAATAAATTTAGAACAAATAAAAATAAACGGTATCACGGTTTTACAGTTACTGTATTACAACCACAAAAAAATCTTATACAATTGAGTGATCTGTTTTACTCAAGCGTCACCTCGATATGCTGCACAATTTGGCTGTAAACGTTCCAGACACGCACCGTTTGATCTGCGGAAGTTGATAAAAGGCAGTGATCGTCGCTTGACCAGTTTAGAGAATACACAAAAGCCTTGTGTCCGAGAAATCGAACGTAGATTTTGCCAGACTTGACCTGAAATCAAGATAACATAATAGTTATCGAAGAACTTCATTTTGTTTGTTTTGTTCTTCATATATTCATATACTTGAATGAGATACTCCTCTTTTCTTATGCGCGATACTGCTTATCTGCGACATTAACGCACCTCGTAAACGACAATCGGATAAGCGTGCTCCTCGGAATGGACGCAGGCCAAATACTTGCCGTCGTTGCTGAAGGCAATGTAGAAGCAGCCGTTCTCGCTCGCTTCCGTCTCGAACATTTTCTCATTTGGAATTTTGCAAGATTGGGCGGCCAGTCGCGTCCATTTAACCAAACCGATCGAGTCCGAGGTATTACGCATCGAGATATCATGCAAATCGCTACGCGTATCGCTAAGATCGTTCAGCGACAGCTGTTGATAGAGCACAGGCTCTAGCTTCGGTAGCGGGACCGATGTCACCGTCACGAGGAGGCTGCTAGGATATTTGTCCCTGTTATTTGACTGCCACCAAGTGTATACCTACACAGCGATACAACGTAAAATTGTTGTATTACGTGCGCAAAATCTTGTAAATAATTATCAAAAATATAATAACTTGAATAATATACCTCACAGTTTTGTTTCTCGCGTTTCTTTAGATTTCGTTTGGGTCTGTAAAGCTGGAGTCGCACCTTCTTGTCTGTATGAAGAACGTTGTTGACTCCCACGGGTTTAAGAAAGGCCCAAGCAATTTTATACCAGCACCCTTCGCTGCCTAAAATTTATTTTTATAAAAAAGAAAGACAAAAAAAGGCATAAAAATTTGTGCCAAGAAACTTACCAACTTTATCGTAGCTGAGGCTCGCTTCGGCGAAGTTTAAGAGATCTATTACTTCGAACAGGATTACCACTTGATCATCGTCCTCGCATTTAGCGATCGCGTTGAAATCGTGCTCGAAGATAAGTTCCTCTTCCCAAACGGGAATCAACGATTTATTTTCCCTGAAGTCAAACTTGCCGGTGATCATAGGTTGAAGAAAAGCGGTGTCGTTTTCACGATTTTTCGTCGTGTTCGGCAGATATGAGCCTGTGCGAGCTTTCACAATGTGAACCTTCACCATCGGTCGTTTAGCGTTCAAGTAATCGTCCTCCAACACGTCCGCTCGATGAATCGTCACGGAAATATATTTTATTTCTTTATTGTTGTCTTTCGTCTCTTTTTTCTCCTGCTTTCGTTTCTTTCTGTTTTTCTTTCTAACTTTTGCGTCTGGTTCGATCGAAGAAGAATGCATATTTCTCGCGGACGAGCTGACGGCTGCATCGTCTTCAGAAGATTTCTTCTTAAATAACTCCCGTTTTCGTTCTCTCTTTTTTAATGGTTGATCCGACGTCGCTTCCGTCGATTTTTTGACACTCGTGGACGACCGATCCTCAGACGCAACCGAGCTCGATAGAAGATCGGTGATCTTTTCCAGACTCGTCGAGGATTCAAATTCCTCGACGCTGTTTTTTCGACTCTTTAAGAATCTTGTTTTCGAAGATCGATCGTCGCTTTCGTCCGCCACGAGACGTCGCCTGTTTGTCGCCTTCGCTACTTCCGTTCGGTGCTTCTGTAAAGATTTGCCGGACGTTACTCCAACATCCTCGACGCGCGAGCGATCGCTCATTTTTCTCATCTCGATCTTGGTGCTCTCCCGATTATGATCGGTCTCGATTCTAAGCACCTCGTCGTCGTTCTCAGACACGAACGCTGGATTGTCGAAGTGATAGATCTCGCTTTGCTGCGTGCTGATCCCGCGCGGAGCCGGGACTGGAGGTTTCCGCAAAGTTTCGATCAAAGGAACTGAACTGTTGGTTGTCTCGGGCAATTGGATCACACCGGTGTCCTTGGACCAACGTTTTCGCGGTGGTTTTTTGGGTCCTATTTCCGGAGTTTCTTCGTTTGCCACAGTGTTCCATTGCTTTCGACGTCGAGGTTTTTCCTCGGGAGATTTTCGCTTTTCTTTGTCGGGCGATTTAAACTCCTCTATTAAATCAAAGGATTCTGTTAATTCATCACGCGACTGTCTAAAACAAATTTCTTTCGACGATTTTTTGGTCCGATCAGAGGTGCGATTCTGACTCGGTGCGTCGCTCGCTCGCAAAGAAGACTTGGAACTTCCGGATGACTGTACAGAGAATCGTTTTGCTTTCTTAATGTCTGAGAGCTCAATAATATCAAGATCTTTGCTATCGTCTCGTTGTTGCCGGCTCTCGTTGTGAATGTCCACGACCACATCCAACGTTTTTGGCGATGTCGCGCTTTCTGTCGACAATTCCTTCAAGAAAGATGACACATTGCGCGATCTCGTTAATTTTCTGTTCTTCGCGGGCTCGGCGAATTTAGCCATTTCTTTTACTACGAATCTCTTTCCGAGACTGGCAAGATGGAAGAAGAATTAGGTCGTTTGTAAAAAAAAAACGTCGCGTGCGTTCTACTTGGAAGAATCGATCGATCACTCGTGCGGCTAAATTAACAAATACGCTCACGGCCAACATAAAAAAAGAGCAATTTCTCGCAGTAGTCTTTATTAAGAGTCACATTATCGCGGATGTAAATTCGTTGACTGCCACCTTGAAAGAACTGCACAGCAACTACTGCCGTTACCTTATAGCACACACGACAGGTGTGTGAGTACACTTAATATATACTGACCGGTAAATCGATCGATACGGTGATGGTTACGAATTTCGAGTTCGTTCGCAAACATTATCTTCACACGCGTTTTCTCGCAAAATTTCCAAGCGCAAATTCAGCGTTCCAATTTAAAAAAAATGATTTATTTATACATATATATTTTGATAACAATTTACTGATTGAAAAAAAAAAAATGAATTAATCTAATTGTTTAATTTCACGCGTTATTTATCAACTATTTCAATTTATAATCGCACCATTGACTCCGTTTTGCGTTGTATTCACTTCAATGTTATTTACTTGCAATTGTTGCGTCAATTCCTATACAGTAATAATTGATATTAAAAAAAATGTATATGTGTGCGTCCAAACAAATTGACTGACAAGGGAACCTCTCGAACCCGAAAATTCTGATTTTGATGAAACTTTGCACACATGTAAGGGAGGTAAATAGATGAGTATTGACATTTTCCGTTGCTGCTAAAAAACGGTTTTAAGGGATGAAATCACCCCTCATATGTAGAGCGGCTTTTCATTTTTCTCAATTTCTCTCGAAAA